CCCCTCCCAAGTTGGAATTCACAGTTGTTTCCTTATCACCTCGAACTTAGAAATACTCCAAAGGAAACGCACCCAGTGGATCCCATGTTACCTACTGATGGGTTTTAATCTTCAATTCCCCCCCCCCTCCCTCCTACATTGCGCAACATTTGGTCACCTCGATGCTTGCCATATATTTTTGGCATGGTGACACTGGCAAGCTCTCCCCTTGAGCAATAAAACTAATCAACTGGAAATACACACTTTTGTCGTCAAGGCGGATTTTATATATCTACTTATTTCATAGTTTTGGTTAATTTATTTAAGTTGATGGACCGAGATTTTTTATCTACCCGGACTTCAACTGCCAATAGTCACCAATTGCCGTAATTTTTGAGGATAATGAAGCAACGAATATTGTTTACATTTATTTATTTATTTATATCAAATGACGGGCGTCTTGATAGTTATCATTAGCTCTTTAGCTGACTTCGGGCTTCACAGAGGGAACATCCAAGTAACAGAAAGTCGAGGGATGGGGAACAGTGAGAGGAGGAGGAACATCAAAGTGAGAAAAAGTCGAGAGGAGGGAAGGAACCGACAAAGTAACAAAAAAGTGGAGAGTGGAAACAGAAGAATGATTCACAGATGTAAAAGAGACAGACAGAGGAAACAGAAGAGCGATTCACGGATGTAAAAGAGGCAGACAGATGACAGAATAATGATTCACAGACGTAAAAGAGACAGACAGATATGACACAAAGTTATAAAAAAGGTAAGATGAGTACTGTGAAAGGGGGCGAATTTCGACAGGGGAAATGAAGAGCGATTCACAGATGTAAAAGAGACAGACAGACAGATTTAAAAAGGTAAGATGAGTACTGTGAAAGGGGTCGAATATTAAAAATAGTAGAGGTGAGTACCGTAAAAGCGATCGAATACGCACAGTTGGGTCATGATAGTTTGAGGTTAGAAGTCAACCGACGGTTTGCAGACATTTTGAGGTATGAGCATTTGCTGCCCAGGGTGCACAACGTGGCGTTAAGTCTATCGCGCACACCAGATTGTAAGCATAACCCCAGACAATAAATGTCAAACTGGTGTGCGCGATAGACTTACCTCCTCGTGGTGCACCCTGGGCAACGTATTCTTATACGCAAAAAAGTCTATTAACCGACAGTTGACTTCTCACTTCAGACAAAAAAGTCTATTAACCGGCAGTTGACTTCTAAATTCAAGCTACCGTGACCTCACTGTATGGCATATTCGACCACTTCCACTGTTAACCACGTAGTCATATTTGACTAATTTCACAGTACTCACCTCACCTTTTTTCTACCTTTGTCTGTCTCGTTTATATCTTTGAAATGCTCATCTATTCCCCCCCCCCTCTCGACATTTTCCCTTCGATGTTCCTTCCTCTCTCTGATGCCTGAAGTCAACTAAAGGGCTAACGATAACTATCAAAACGCCTGCCATTTGATATAAATAAATAAATGTCAAACTTTTGCAATATAAAAGCAACTGATGTAGTTTAACATTAATTCCAATAAATTATCAATTGAAGGCATCCTATAGATTTTGAAGTCAAGATCAAGTTATGAAAAAATAATTAGTTAATTAATTTTTTTCATTTGGGAGGGAATAATGCCAACTTGTTGAGTAGTTCAATTTTCAAATTTTAGATTCCATGATTCGACATCACTGGAATTAGGTACAAAGTTGCTGATCACCATATATCCAATTATTTATTTATATCAAATGGCAGGCGTTTGGATGGTTATCATTAGCCCTTTAGTTGACTTCAGGCTTCACAGAGGAAAGGAACATCAAAGTGAAAAAAGGCCAAGAGGGCGGGGGGGGGGAACAGAAGAGTGTTTCAAAGACGTAAAAGAGACAGACTCAAAGATAGAAAAAGGTGAGGTGAGAACTGTGGAAGTTGTGGAATATGACATACAGTGGGGCCATTGTAGTTTGAAGTCAGAAGTCAACTGCCGATTAATCGACTTTTTTGTCATATGAGTATACGTTGCCCTGGGTGCACCACGTGGAGGTAAGTCTATCGTACACCCCATATAACCAATTATAGCAGTGGGTCTTAACACTCAAATACATTTTTCTTTTCTTCACCATTGCTGTTTTCTACGACCTTCAATTGCCTAAATTAAGTCTTGAGCTAGCTTAATAGCTCTCTGGCACATCACTTTGTTTCTAATTCTGTCATGTTAATGTGGCCAGTGCATCAAATGTTGCGGGCGTAAGATAGAGACGCATTAATCAAATATCATCTGTGGCTGAAACTCATTTGCATGCTGAGTGATGTTCCTAAAGCCCAGGGGGAGGTAGAGCTGACGATTTTGGGTCGGAAAAAACCAATCTAACTTCGGGCTCTCATCGAAGCTCTATTCTAATTAGAAAGGTTTTTTAAGGAGGGGGAATTGTCGGCCAAGGGAGTCCCAACTCCCGACATTGTCACAATGCCCTGGTTTTTAAACGATTTTCCGCCTGTTGAGGTAGCCACACGCACACACATACACACACACTTGCAGTTGTAGACTAAACGAGACAATTTCCCCCAAAAGCATTTTCGGATAGACCGCAACTGACGTAGAAGTGAGGAGAGGGATGGGAGGTAGCTCGGATTTTACGAAAAACTCATCAGGGTCTACTAGAGGTGCCCATTTGACGGAGGCACGTTAGAGTCGCTCTAATATCCACATTGTTTCTAAATTGGATAAAACAGCGTGTGTCATCTCTTCATGAGCATCAATACTAGTATCTACCATTCTAAATGGTTAAATGCTACCAACTTAAAGTATAGCAATTCACGTGGCTAGGACAAAATCATGTCTAAAGAACTCCAGTAAAGCAAAAACCTTACAAAACATATGTGCCCTCATTGTCCAATCAAAAGAAAACTAGAAAATAATAAGACATTTCAAGGAAAGTGCAGTTGCATCATAAGCAAATAATTGCGAAAGCCAACCTCGTTAAGCAACCCCCCCCCTTTTCCACCCACTAATTGAATTTTGACGTCAGTTAGAAAATGCAAGGTTTAGTTAAGTAACACATATATTTACAAGTACAAAAATATACGCCAAAGATAAATCACATCGATCGCCTCGATTGAGAATGAATCTCAGGAATCGAAGGACAACCCGTTTTCTCCATTTTCACCAGGTGATAATTTCGTCTCACTGGAAGTTTACGCATACATGAGTTCCTTCTAGAAGACCAGAGAGTGACAGGTACAGCAACTCTCCTCCTCCTCTCAGGAGTTGTATGAGTGCGTTGAATTTGAGGAAGAGGTTGTGTAGGTATGGCGTCTTTTACTTCCAAAACTGGAGATTCGGCGTTATCTAGAACTTTCCTGAAGGGAGTTCCAATACGCATTTGACGCCTCTTGATATATGGAAGCATTCCAGCCAATGGACAACAAGGAACTTGACTCCCGTCGAGACTAGTTGAAGAGAGGGTCGCACGAGTCTTTACGACATTCACCCTGGTTGGCGTTTCTTCTGAGTAATTAGCAAGGGAACGTTTCGCTGGAGAAACTGGAGACATCTAAAGAGCAAGATCAACATCAATCCAAAAAAAACGTACAACAAAGGAATGAGTATTTGTACTTACAAGACGTGAAGGTGTACCAGGATCAATAATCTCTCGAAGAGGATTTCTCTTGCTCCCGCCGTAGATATTACTAAGCCTTCGAACATATCGAGCCTTCTTGGGGTGAGTATCTGGTAGTTTCTTGACAGCAACACTGAGTTCATTCAGAGCCGCTTTAGTGCGTTCCTTCCAGGCTTCTGTGCCCTCTTGGGTGTTCTCTTGTTGCGCAAAGGTCAGGTTAGTATAAATAGTAGCGTCGTCATCTTGTGTTGAACATATATCGACGCCGGAGTCTTTTGAACCACTAAGAGCCGACAAGAGACCTTCCGAAGATATATTTCGATCGATATCATTAGCGAGGACCTGTGGAATTGCAAACACTCCTTTGGAGCCCTGCTTGATCATCAATGTGGCGAGATTATTCAAAGCATCGTATTCCTTATGGAGGTCAGTACTGGAACGCTAAAGGGATATGAATAATAATTAGAAATGAAAAGCTTCTACGATTAAGTATTGAAGTAATTGCTTACGCAAGATGGGGCAAACAGAAGCGGTCCAAAGATGGTGCCAAGACTTTCAGCAGACATTCCATTGGCGTGTGAATAACTCAGGGTTTCGGTTAATAGATCCAATAAACGACGGAGAAGGAATTGATTCCTGGCAGGAAGAAGAAATCTGAGGATTCTTAGAGCTAACATCTGTTTGGCTCTAGCTAAACGAGAACTGTTTGGAGAAAGAGGTACTCGGAAGCCAGAATCGTTGTAGTTTCCTGACGTGAGTTCTAAACAAAATTTACAGTTTTTAATCGAAAATCGATGGGATATGCCATTAGATCAAGATTTCCCCTTACTGGAAACGGAAATATAAACTGGAAGAAGGTCTTGAGTTAAGATTGGATCCGCCATTTCCCGAAGAACAGTCTTCAAGGCGTTCGCGCAGTCATGAGCTGTAAGTTCCTCCAAAACGTCTGAAATGCCATCTAGCTCAGATGACGGAGTCTTAACTCGTCTTGAACGTGCCATTCGACTCCAGGAAAAAGAAGGAAGAGGAGACGATGGAGGAATTGAGGAATTCGAAGCGTTCAGAATCGCAAAGTTAACAGGATAGATGACGGTGGTACCGTTAGTTAAGAGTCTGCAGAGTTCGCGTTGGCGACTAATATTGCCAGTCTTTCTGAATATCATTTCAGTTTTGAGATCTAAGACAAGGAGCACAAAATTAGCTATCAACTCACATTTCCACTAAGAATAACAGTTATGGTTATGCGGTATTGACTATTTCTAACTATCATTCATCAATTCTAAGCAGTCAATTCTGAATGAAGTTAATTGTAACTATATGGATGGAATCAGTGCAAATGAACCAAATCTAAGAAAAACTGTGCTCATCTTCTTTTTGCTGAATTCTGTCAAGATATGGATACTGAATGGCTAACATAATCCATTTATTTCCACTTTCTATTACTGACACTAAGTAACCCCATTTCAAAAATGAGTATCTAGGCTCACCAATCTCCCTAATGAATGATAATGTAATAAAGAACTTACTGTCACCAGTTAACAAATGATTCATGAGAACCACGACATTGTCATAGATATCCACTTGTTCTTCCGACCAATCTTCAAATGAAAAAGGCAGGGTCAAAGGTGGAAAACAATCAAAATAGATGGCAATGAAACAAAAACACCTTACCATTTTTAAGGATTTCATATTTACTTCCCTGAGAGAGTTTCACCCAAGATCGGTACCTCCTATGTTTGTGAATTCCTTCAATAGAAGTGGAGGAATCTGGGTCATATTCATTGAAAGTAAGTGGTAAGTCAATCAGTAGGGACAGGTGAAATTTACAAAGGTCGACAAATTTTTGCGTTCTTCGAGTTCTGTACAAATTAACGTTATCGGCACTTGAAGAAGTTGCAACAAGACGGTTAGCGTAGATGCAAACGCCCTCTTGGACTCGCCTGGACACTGGGGTTAGATAGATAGCATTTCCACTAAGATCCTGAGTCATTGCCTTAGCACAGGTGAAGGTAAGTGAGTAGACGGAGAAGTGGGCACGCGGGGTAACAGAGACGTTGGGTGTTTGTCGTTGCGCGTGGTGATTGGTAAACTTCACATTTGCTTATCAACCAATCAGCAGAGCGCAAGTCATGACAGCCAATTAGGAGGCAATGCCGCCTCGCGCCTACCGAAAGCGAATTTTGATTAGATAATTGCGTCCTCATATTTCCTCATTAGATTTGAAGTATGTTGAACCCTAACCAAAATAGTTGACTTTCGACCACATGCTTCGATGCGTGATTTTCACTATGTACTACTGACAACGATTGAAAGATTTCAGTGAAAAATTTACAGGGATCACTTGTTTACAAAACTCTGCGATAAATTTTAACGAATACTTTAAACAGATTTCAATAACCTTTTAGTAAATTCAATATCCTTTCATAAGAGAGTAAGAGGCGACGATAACTGTCGTTCCCGGAAAAATCTAGCAAAAACGTGATTAAAACACCATCCAATGACTCAGAAGTTATTCTTTATTATAGCTAATAATAAATTATGATCAAGACCGTTTATCCCAAAGACTTGAACAAAGGTGTTTGCGTGCCGCAACATAAACAATGAAAGCCATTCGAATTTGCTACTTATTAAAAATAGTAGACGATTGTTTTACTTGCATTATTCATGTAAACTATTACTACTGAATGTGTGGAGTACGCCCTTTAATTGATAATCCAGCTTGTTTTTCATAGTTAAATTTCAATAATTAGCCAAGTATAGCGCGCATTCACAAACTAATCGCCTTAATCCAATTAAATTCATGGCATGTGAAGAAGTACAACTTATGCTAGCGAGGGTTAACAAATTTTGGTAAAGACGATGACCGAAGTTGGGACAACTATGGCGAATTAATGCCGAAACTTTGAATTATGTAGTAAGGCCTCCTATCTCATTTTACATCTGATCGGCCTTAATATAGTCGTACAAATGCCCTCTGAAGACCATATGGATCCTTCGTGATACATGCCCTGGGACATCAGCTATTAATCTCATTGCCCGATCTTGATTGCTCTGGAAGGATCTTATTGAACAACTACTTCTATAGGAAAGGCTGCTATTTGGAAGAATGAAGTCTGAAAACACGTGGAATAGAAATGAGAGTGGTGAAAAGTGTATGAAAGTAGTCAATTGACGAATCAACTTGTGTGTTGCTGACAACCACTTTTATCAGGTGCTCTAATCTTGTATCAAAGGGTTTGGCCATCATTCACGTCCGCCAATTCATTTCCAATTATTAGAATGCCCGACCACAATGAATCAATTATTAATTCTATCTTTCACTCAAGTTAGGAGGAGAGGGAGGAGTTCTATTGATTTCATAATTTAGAAGCTTGCCTTAATCCCCCCCGGATGAAATCGATAATTATTTTAGAAAGGATGCCTATATGCACTTTCGGAACTGAACTCAACTAGACATCAGAAAGAAGAAACCAATGATTAATCAGGTCACAAACGAGTAGAAAGACAGGGAATATAAAGAGGCAACATTCTGGAGCAGTTCCTGTCAAAATCAATTAATCAAAAGACAAATCGAAGTAAGGGGTGTAAAGAAGGCGGTGAACTTAGATCCTTCTGTGTAATCAATAGGCAACGCTGTGCTTCCTTAGAGGCTTGCGATGCCTAACCCAGGAAAGATAAGAAAAAAAAGGAACAGATCCTACAAAAAAATGGCTTGGCAATTTTAGGAGACCTAAAAGCTTGACGTCTGGTCATCCAAGACATAAAGGGAGATCTCAGACGGAATTATCGAAAAAGTCAGGTTTAATTCATGTTAATGAATTGAGTCCTCTTCCAAAAAATAGACTAAATCACTAGGATGGAAGGCGAAACCAACAATAGGACTTCAAGTCAACTCGAGGGAGTTTTAACAAGGAGAGAAACTAAGTTGAAAATATTTATTTATTTCAAATGGCAGGCGTTTTGATAGC